TAAGAAGAACCCAGGAGTAGCCTCAGAGAGGGTAGATACCACCTCGGCTCTCGGGCTTCTTACGACAAGTCGTGAAGTCCCTAAGAGGGAGCACCGAGCCGTCTCCTAGTTGTCGACAAACAACGGCTCCCTCTGGACCAGGGTACGTTCGTAAGCTCCCCTAGAGGTGTGGCCACCAACAAGGTCACGAGGAGAGACGAGAATCTCCAAGAAGAGGTCAGCCTCAGAGCTCTCCTCGGGAGGCCAACACCCTCTTGAGTTGATGGCAGCTCCCTGGCTGACGGATGCCACTACCGTACCCCACGCGTACGCTGATCACCTTGGAAGTCCTCCTGCTGCTGGTCGAGGTCGTTAGTGATCTCCCGGGGCTCAGGAATACCACCCTCTTCCTCCTCCGCTTCGTCCTCTCCATCCGAGAAACCGAAAAGCTTCCGATTGTAGTACCGAGTTTCCTTCTCCTCGCGGAGTGGAGACTTCGAAGCTGTACGCCTCTTAGAGGGCTTGTCACCTTCGGATTTAGCGGCCTTAGTATGCGCAAGACTCTCGGTAAGCGAAAGATGTTTGCGAGGTTTCTCCACCTCGTCGTTGCCAGCTTCGAGAGAACCCTTAGCCTTGACGGCCGTACTCTCAGAGCGCACATACGTCCTGGTACTGTGATACCCGTGATCACTAGCGAGCGACTGCGCGCTGTCGTGTTTGTGCTCGCCGGGCACTGGGCTGTGCCCTCCCGTAGAGCCCACATCCGCGTCACCAGCTGAGCCGATCGCCTCGGAGGCCATCTTAGTTGCCCCCTGGAGTGTCGAGCCTTTGCGCAAGGCTTAGTACTCTTGGCTTGCGCCTTTTCGGCAGCAGCCCTGGAGCGTGACTTCGCGCCGCTAGTCGCAGTGCCACGGGGAATGGTAACGGTCGATGTGGAGACCAAGAACAGGAGCGTTCATACCGCTGCTTGAGGCTTTCACTGTTAAGTGATCATCCGCAGTGATCGCGGCCAGGTCCATGTATTTCGACTTTGAGAATGAAAGTTTGTGATGTACACGCTTTCATTCTGATTGGTCGGTAAACCGAATGTAACGGGCCAGGTATTTACACCGTTACTTGCTTACACTATAGTGTCGAGGAAGCTCGCAATAGAACGACCAAGTTTTAGGCTTAAGGAAAAAAATAACTCTGACTTATTTTAGGACCAAGGCCACAGCCCTGGCCACTCAAATACACGTAATCCTTCAATTGCTAATTATGGGTATGGCTCCACATATATCAGTAAATGGCATGACAGCATTTCAGCACACGCCAGTCGTGTGTCGATGCATCTACTTTTGTAAAGCAATCTACCTAATTATGTAATGGAGGGGCCCATTACATTACCCCCTCTTAAATTTGCACCCACGCAACATAAGCAGTGGGCGAAGAACAAATCAATCTGCATGAGGATGGCGAACGGGGACTTAGCTAATGGGCGGAGTGAAACGGAGACGGAGACATCTCCTGCGAATCACAGGAGCGACAAAGCTCAGCTTGCGGAGAACTTGACAAGTAACACGATGGAACAGCAGAGGACGGGAACACTGACGTCGGCGACGTCGTCGACAGAAGCGGCACGCGGCACGCGCGTGATGGACGACCAGCTCCTGGCATGAGCTCTCAACGACATACCCAGAGCGCGGGCTCCGGATACACTGGACACGATGAAAGATCGCTTCCGCGGACTGCGACAGAAGCCTGTCAAGGGTGTCGCATATGGCGAATGGTCCAATGAAGCGGTGCTTCAGCTTGTTGCTGCCGACAGAGCTGACAGTGTCTAGCGGTAGGTTCTTTGTGTCGAGTAGCACTACGTCCCCCACCTTAAATACACTTAAGTTTCCTTTTCCATGTTTGTCAGGGTACCCCTTTTGTCTGGCCTGGGTCGCTGCCATGGCATCACGGACCCTGCTGATAACGCTCAGATTGGTATCCCAAAACGATTACACTTGTTTCGCAGCGAAACAGGTCTCACTTCTGAGACATGGGAGGAAAGAGCTTTCTGAGCCTCTCCCCCACGTAGAATAGAGGCATCAGTGTCTCCTCGATGCGTGAGAGACACGCTGGGGTGACGGAAGCCGTTCAAGTAGAACGGCGTGAGCCCCGTGGACGCGTGCATCGCGTTGTTGAGCGCATACTCACCTACAGGAAGCTGCGCCGACCACGTACGGGTGGGCTTCTGCGCACACACTGCGCAGAGTGTCCTCGAGCACTCGATTGACGCGCTCTGTCTGGCAGTCTGTCTGTGGGTGGCCCGCAGTGGACAGCTGTAGACGGGTTCCCAGTAAAGCGAACAGCATTTTCCAAAACGCAGCCGTGAATCGCGGGTCTCGGTCCGAAATAAACGTCTCCGGCAGACCATGATTGCGGAACACGCCATCGCCGAACAGCCCCGCGGTTTGTTCGCCTGCAACGGTAACGGGCACTAAAGCGAGATGTACCATCTTGCTCAGCCGACACACGAACACCAAAATTCCAATGTTGCGGTGTTCGTCGGAGGGAAGTCCAAAGATGAAGTCAAGACTCGTCGACTTCCAGCAGTCAGCCGGTACGGGCAGGCTCTGTAGTGGAGCCAAAGGGTGCCCTGCGGGTTTGACCCGCTGACGTGTTTCACATGTCTTCACGTATCGGTAGACCGACTTGTACATGTGGGTCTACCAGAAGGCCTGAGAGACCGACAGGAAGGTCTTTTCGCGGTCCAAGCCGCCGCTGGAGGGCGCGTCGTGCACCTCTGCGAGAATGTCGAAGTTTACATCCTCGCCATTGGGTACGACCACCCGTGGAGGCTCATTGGGCCTAACCCGATAATAGAGGAGGCCATCCTTCAACTCATATCGGTGGAGCCGTGAGCGCTGTCGCGACGAAAGCTAGTCGTACTTCGCTCTCGTTCCTGCTGCGAGGAGCTTGACAATAGACGCGACAGCCTCATCGTCCCGATACGCCATGCGTATCCGATCATATAGATCCGCTGTCACCCGTGTGATGTGGGCCAGCTCATACTCAAGACGCCGAGAGAGGGCGTCCGCAAGCACGTTGAACTTGCCCGGCTTGTACTCGACTCGGAAGTTGTACTCTGCGACCAAGGACACCCACCTCGCTATTCGTTGGGAGATGTGAAGCGACTTTGTCGTCGCCCTCAAGGCTGCGTGGTCTGTGTAGACCACGAAGGGCTGTGAGCCCAGAAGGTGAGCCCAAAACTTCACAAGGGCATACTTCATTGTCAGGAGCTCCTTGTCAAGGACAGGGTAGTTCCGTTCGGTGGCTTTGGGCTGCCTGGCCTGGAACGCGATGACTCGTTCATGTCCAGCCGCGTCGGTCTGCAGCTGCTTACAACTGATGGCATAGTCGAAGGCATCGCAGACGACGCTAAACGGCTTCGTCTCGTCCTGCAGGGCCAGGACAGAGACCGCTTGGAGACTAGCCTTGATGCTGTCAAAGGCATCGTGGTGCTCCTGCTCCCAGCGCCAGTCGGCGTCCTTCCGAAGGAGGCCCGATAAGGGCTTTGCAAAGCCCACGTACCCTGCGCTGTACTTGTGAAGGTAGTGGGCCAAGCCCAACCACTTTCGAAGATCCTTCAGGGATCTGGCTATGCTGCTATGACCTTGACCTTGTCTGGGTCAGCCCGAACGCCCTAGTTGCTTACGAAGCAACCGAGAGCATTGATCTCTGGTGGCGCGAAGACCCACTTGTCGATGTTGGCGTGGGGATTATTCGCTCGCACCACGTCCAACACTCGCCGGAGGTGCCCCAGATGCACCTCCATGGCCGTCTTGCCTCCCTCGGCACGGCTATGGACGATGATGTCGTCGAAGAGCGTCTGTTCGAAGGCACGTAGCGGCCTGAACAATTGCGTCACCTAGCGGTTGATCGTCGCCGGGGCATTAGACACGCCATGCGGCATGCCGAGCCACTCCCAAAGCATGTCGCTTGGAGTGCTCACCGGGGTGAGCGGGATGTCGCTCTCTCGCATCAGGATCTAGTAATATCCGTCTACCAAATCCAGCCCACTGTACAGTACGCTTCCGGTCATATTTCTTAACAACACATCCTTTCGCGAGATTGGTGTTTGGGCCGGCACCGTCGCGTTGTTCGGCTTGTTTTAGGCATGAACTAGACACCACTTTACGTTCGGCTTCCGAACGCAGAATGTTGGTGTCGAGTGTGGGGACTTCGACTGCCTGTCTTCGCTTTCGCAGCGAAGAAGGCATCGATGACCTCACACTGTTCGCGCGGAAGAGGATAAGGTTGGAGAGTGCAAAAGCAACACGAAATTGCTCGGTCGAGATCAGAGCCGCGTCCATCGCGAGCTCTACCTTTTGTACCCAGAAGTGAAGGTTCTCACCTTCCTTCCCTTCATACGGCTTAACCTTCAGCCGTTATGGCTTCGGGTGTACCGGATTTTCTTCCGCCGCCGAAGCCTGCAGGTTCTCACGCACATGCGCGATGAGCCCCTGCTCGTAAGCGTCAAATGCATAAATTCGCTCGAGCTGCTCGTCTTTAGAAAAGCAATGTCATTAGCCAATGGTTGGCCTCGGACGACCAGGGTACCTTGTACCAAATATCCCGAAGTATGACGCGTCATACTTCATGAAGCTAGCGTTACAAGCTGCATGCTTTTTCATATTTCGTCTAGAATGTACTAGCAGAAAACTATATAATTACATAAACAAATACAGTAGAACCTTGCATGGAAATACTTCGCATTTCTAGCTGCATACAAATTAAGCCACCGATACATGTATAGTGTACAATAAATCCACCGACATACAAAAAAGCCAAAATGTCAAAGAGAGAATCCAAATAGAACAGCTAAACAAATCATAAAAACAATCCACCCCTTTTGCGATTGTAAGTCATGATAGTTCTGGATATTGCGCGAGTTTGAATACTTAGTACTACTACTACAGTCCTTTACTGTAGTAGGATGTAAAAGGGTTTTGTATTTATGAAAAAAAGGTATTACTCGACAAAATCATACCAACTTAGTTACCAGCGGCCGCTCGACGCTTTTTGTGGCGAATGGCGCGGAATTCGTCTTGGATCTCATCGTTCGTCTTTCCGGATGTTTCGGGCAGCAGCAAGAACACGAACACGAACGAGATCGCCAGCATCACCGCGAACGGAACGTAAGCTAAGTCATTCATAGCACTCGAAATGTACGGGTATCCAACCCCTACGATCAAGTTGGCCGTCCAAGCCACCATCACACCGATCGACGACACAGTAGCACGTGCGTAGTCTGGGAATACATCGGCAATGACCACATACATAAGTGGACCAAGACTTACGCCGAACGAGCCGACGTATGTCGCAATGAACATAATGGACAGAGCCGACCAGTTGAACGAGAGTGACAGCGTCACACCGACGGCACTGATAAACATTCCGCCTATACCGCAAAGCAGCATACGACGGTTACCGAAGCGGGCTGCGAAGAAGCCAGATACCAACGTCGGCAGCATGTTGACAATGTCAATAATAATTGTACTGACACGGGCGTTGCTGAGTCCAGCCTGGTTAAACAAATCCGAGGAGTAGTAGAAGACTGTGTTGATACCCGTGATCTTCTGCATACAAGCGACGCCAATGGCGATGATGAACTGGCGTCGCAGAGCCGGTGCAACCAGCTCCGACAACGGGACTCCTTTACCGCTGCGAACGACCTCGTTCCCCGTCTCACTCCACGTACTCGACTGCATCTCCATGTCGTGTTTTGCGTTTGGACTCGATCCACTCGAGAGCCACGGGCACATTCTCGGCTCCAAATAGGCCGAGTGAGGACCGCTTCAGCATCGGCGCGACGGCCCTTCAGTAGCAGCCACACAGGCGACTCGACCATCAGAAACGGTGAGAAACTCAGGAAAATGGCGGCTAGTACGATCGGGAACGCAGCAATGTACCGCCAACCATCTTCAAAATCCATGTAGAAAAAGGTTGTCGCGACTAACAAGATACCGACAGTGATACCACTGTGGAGAACAGCGCCCAGCACCGAACGGAGGTGTGGGGGTGAGATCTCGTTGATGTATCCACCGACATTACCCGTCGTGGCACCCGAGGCGATACCAGCAAGAAGACGACCAGCGGCAAAGGCCCACAGGTTCGACACGACGGCCATGACAACGGCACCGGCGATGATGAACCCACAGTTGTAGATCAGCACCTGCTTGCGACCGAACCGGTCGGCGAACTTACCGACGAACAAGGCACCGATCATACCTCCAAAAATCCATGCGTTCACGACGATTGTCCACTGAAACTTGGTGTGGCCTGGGAACATGATGCACGTGCCCTCGGCAACCGGTCGAGCGTTGCAGTCCTCGACATTGTTGAACTTGTGCAGGTTGAGTTGAGAGGTCGACCAACCGTACTGAAGAGGTAGCACAAAGGCAAGCAGGGCGCTCGTGTACAAGATGTAGGAGGGCTGGACTCGCAGTCGAGTCTCGATATCTTGCGGATCAAGTGTCGTGTTGTGGATCTCGGGGGTCTTCGACTCTGCGTAGGCGAGATCCACGGGGGAAGCAGGCACAGACTTGCTCATGATCACTGGAACGGGTGGTGGTGGAGGTGGGTGTTCTGAAGCTGGTCAATTGTGAAATGAGGGACATATTCATCTCGTGTCGAAGCTGTCGAGGAGGCACTGTCCCTGAAACAGGGCTTCAGCCTGAACTTCAGGAGAGCGGGTCACGCTGCGGGATGCTTGATCGTGGTTGAAGAAGCGGAAGTTGAAGGAGCCAACAAGTTTAGCGTCGATCGCCAAGTCTCCGATTGTGAGTGCAGAACTTCAGGGATAGTACAGGACGCAAACGGTACTATGACCGACCCAACTTTTGAGCGACAAATACGCACGGGACTGGTTGGATAGAAACTGATTGTACAGCTATCTAAAGGTATTGTGGATGATCACAGTACCTTTGATGGCTGCGATCTGGCAAGATGGCACGTATATGAGAGCTGTCGCGTAGCGGTGGATATCTTTTATGCATCCAATTCCTAGGTGCATACACTGCAATTGCTCAAACCACGCTGCGGCAGAAAAGACGGCCTTAATCCATTCGTCGTTAATCCATGGTTCTATCCGAGTAAACACCAACTAAGCATTACCAACGAGCACATTTCTTCGTCGATGTTCTAGGCTTACTCACATACAAATTTCCTGTTATTCTGCAGCGGTCAATATCGCTGTTAAAACAATACGTCTATATTACATGCGGTCGTGAAGCGGTACTACCTGCACCGAATCTTTACTTGAATGTGTGATGGACTCCCTTCTCAAAAAACAAACTGCCCCTGCTCAAGTGATTATGGACTTTTTGTATCGGCTCTTCTATGTACTTCAGAAACCAGACAGTCCTGTGGGCTTCTCTTAGACAGTGAGTATTTCGCCCGATTGGCCAACCGACTATACAATTATACTCCCCAACATGCATAAAATGGACTTAGCCGACGGTCTTGGCAACACTCGCTCGGAATTAATTTCTATTCCCAGACACAGCGCCTTGCCGAGTCGAGGACTTAGAGGCCGAGGTGGGGCAGGCCGCGCAGCGGCGCCCCCCGAGCGCAGCGCAGCAAGCGAAGAGAGGGGCGGGCCCACGGCTATAAGTCCGCAGACGAGTGCAAACGCGCTAGTGTCCTACCTTTACTCCAATTTAACCGTACTATACTATCTGTACACGTATAAAAGTCGATGCTATATTACCTCAGTCGGGCGAAATAACGAGTGCCCTTCTCTTATGCTCCAGGGGAATTGTTGGAAAAATAAGCTAGCTTAAACATTTCGTTTGAGTATTTCCTACTCAGAAATGCTTGGAGAGAGCTATAAAACCCTCCATCTCCTACAGTAAAAAGTTTATATTGCTGTTTTTTAGCTTAGCAAAAAGAGCTTCATGTATCAGTACACAGCGTACAACGTCTACAATACACGTCAAACAACATGAGCACGGCCACCGCCTACAAATCACGAGGATATCCAAGCGGCATTGTAGCGCGCCGGCTCACTCGTCTACTTCAAGTTGATTAGGCTACATAGCCTTGACTTGGGCGCGGTTGGGTCCCGACTACTGTACTGTAGGTCTGTATTCCTCAAAAATAATACACAAACGACAAATTGTATGTGATATTGGGGTGCGCATACAAACTGAGTGACGGTGCACAGTGGTACATGTATTGTCGCAGTTTGCGTCCTTAAGACAAAGCTACAGTTTTCTTAAGATCAACATCTCGTTTTTTATTATTCCACGACGGCAGCAATTGACCGCAACCGAGTAGTACTTCGATGAGCTCGAAAGCACTCGAGCGTAAGCTGAAGACACTTTTAAGAAAAGTTTAAGGCTGTAAAGTATGTCTAGATACTAATTAAATGGTTTGTAGACTTCCGAAAAATAAAGTCTTTTTTTACTTAATTTTGCATTTAAATTTCTTTTATAGCACACATTTATAATATTAATCATGCATTGTGCGTAATACCTATTAAAAATTAACTTTCTAGTGTTACATCCAATATAAACCACTTTTGATAATCTGGATATACCCTAGAGGGTTTATTCAAACACTTAACCCTACACGAACAATGCTGTTATCTAAGCAAAAGGTTTTAAGAGAAACTTCTTGATATTATAACAATATGATCGGGATTACAGTTTTCGTGCTTCCGGATGGGGTAAAAAAGGAAGTTTTGATAAGGATTGCGCATTCATCGGCTCAGTCTAATTGTCGACACATTTTCAACTTGTGTTTCCGTGTAACCCATTCATCGCGACATCTTCCTCGCAGAAGCAAGAGTCCAATTTAAATTTATGGCTCATTTGAAATTTCAAAGCCGATCAGTATGTTTTCGCATGTAAAGATGCCGAGGGCAATAAAAGATAAACCTCTCCAATTCTCCGATATTTATTTCACAGTTTAGGAGTTGCTGTTTCAATTTTCAAAACAAAGACCAAATAGTCTTTGTGTTGAAAACAACATAAACTCATGAGGTTTAGTTTGTAAACTATACACATTACTTGTGTCCTCGCCTCGCGGTTAAGTACGCCTATTCTAAACATTTGAAATTATTGAACAATTCACAGAAACTAATACCGCGCCCTCTAATACAATTAAAATTTAATTGTATTTGATGGATCTATTGGGGTTAATAGATTTATCGGCGCAAACAGGTAAAAAGAGCATACCTTTATTAAAAAAAATGGTGTGGGAGGGATGACCTAGCCCAGCTTCATCGTTTTCTTCCGAGTTTTTGATGATAGCACGCAGCGTCTGGAGCACGCATTCGGATCTTGAGGACATGGTTGTGACTAGAGAGCGGTTCAGCTTCTTGAATGTCGGTAAACGATGCAGCATCTCCGGTTCGATGCGCTTCAAACATCTCATCATGAAGAGCGACTGTGGAACGGGCATGAGGATGGCGCTACGGTCATCGATGTGGACGTAATTGACGGTATGCTGGACAATGTGGCGGCTATGGAGAAATTCTTGAAGATTCCGGTAACCGAACCCGATGTGTCCAAGATCCAGTTCATGACTGATTCGTTCAAGTTCCGCCCAGACTTAAGTGTGTCCAGGGTAAGTGTATCGTCTGCAGTGTTTCGCTCATGGTCGCAAAGGAGTTTTTCGTGGAGCTTGCATCTATCGTCAAGAACCACGGAGTCGCAGTCGAGATAGAATAGGCTGCCACAGAGCCGAGAAGTTGCGCTTTTGCAAGCGCTCGTATGATATCCTTGTGAGCGATGTGGGCTTGCCGGTCGAGGATATCATCTTCTTCAGTATCCTGACGGTGTTCACCGGTATGGAGGAGCACAGCAACTACGGTGTGGACTCAATCAACGCGTGTCGAATCATCAAGGAGTAGGCTGATCCTATACATTAACGTGCTATATGCGTGGATAGCTATCACGAGACCAGGGACTTGGGCTCGGGAAGGTGAATTGGAAAGTGAGATATATTAAAGAGTTAGAACTTACTGCTGGTCTCCTAGGAGACTCCTTAGTCGTCCACTGCGGTCCTTTGTAGCAGGACCACCGATGATGTTCATGGTGATGCTCGCTCCTTCCTTAAGCATCAGCAGCTTGCGTGTCCATGGCACGCAGGCTTGAAGTTCTTGCCGTCGTCATACACAACATGTAGTGGCGACCATGGCAGTTGGCGCCGGAGCATCAGCTGATGATGCTCGAGTGGAGTGAATGCATGTGCTGCTTGAAGAAGTGAGGTGACAGCACGCTGTCACCTTCAGCGAGCTTCAGCTTGACAGAACGTCGTCAGCACCACACAGCCCCACAAAGCTGCAGCTCGCGCGTCTCGCTTGTAGCTACTGTAGTTGAGCACGCAGTAGGTCGTCTCCAACCGACTCAACATAGTCGACCACTGCTTGTGGCACGTCCTTGTGCATCGTGTTAAAGCTCTCCCAGCTATTCTCGATAGGCTGTAGGCCAGCCCATTTCACCAACAGCTCCCAGCGCTGTAGTTCTTTGTTGTAGCGATGATCTTCGAAAGCTGCCACATCCAGCACGATACCTTGCGACGTGACCAACTCCATCATCTCTACGTCCATGTTAACCCCCCCAACGCCCAAGCCATTTTTTGACGTTATTTCAAATCATCCAACATAGTACTCATCCAACATGTAAAACCGTGCAACACTTGACTTTACTATAGTCTCGTATAATTCCGAGCACATTTCTTGTACATGCACAACAAGACAATTTCTGCAAATCCCGTCACCATGTTGTATGTACACCAGATCAAAGTTGTATATACACCGGCAGACTGCTTGAATATGGCGTACATCCAGCATGATGGAGGTTTCAAAAAAAGGTGTCGATGTATCTTTTATCAAGAGACTGTACGAAGCCTATCAATCCGGTGCAAAGCCGGGAGGTTTGAAGACAACGAAAAGCGAAACCAAACACACATCAATTGAATACAGTAAGAAAAAGCACATATTGCAGCACTACGTTCATCCACCATCAGTTATCGGCTCACTCAGTCTCGCTACCTTCCCTGTCGTCGTCGTGCGCTACGCTGTCGCTGTCGCTCCCCTCGCTAATACCTTCCTCCTCCTCTCCATCACTACTTCGGCGGCGGCGCTTACCCTTTCCTCCAGCCTCGCGATTCTGGAATCCTCGTCCACATCGCGCCCTGGGGCATTTGGCTCCATTTGCCCACTTGTGATGCCAGATCTGGTGGCAGCTCAGAGCGTTGCCAGGATAGTGGTGCGGCCAAATACGAGTACACAGATACATGCTGTACATAACGAGCAGCAGTTAGTAGTCGTTTCAGCCATATCGAATTCGTATGTACCGAGCTTTATCAGAAGTGCTGCAGGCATCGCAATAGTATTTGGTGGCTCGACGCTCTCCCACCCGGCGCTTCAGAATTGCGCACACTTTGCATTGGCGCTGCCGGCGCTTGCGCACGCCTTTCACGATCTGGTACTCAGGACATTCCCGAGGTTCGTGGCCAGGTGGCAAGGGTGGAAGCTCGTCGCCAGCTGCGGTCTCTTGTGGTCTTGGCTGTCAACATACAGCATGTGGGTCATACAATATG